TACAGGTGAGGAACACCCTCTGGGTGCAGATAATCTCTTTGGAACTTAAATTTAGTTAAGCTTAGTGTAGAAAGTTACATACAGTATTGGGACAATATGAAATTTTGATACATTTTATATAGTAAAAACTTCCAAAATTCTTCAAGCTTGCTTGCTTCCTCCCTCTCACCCTTCCTTCTTCCCTCCCTTGTTTTCCTTTTTTTCTTTTTCTTTGTGTCAGTGCTGGGGCTTGAACCCAGGGCCTCACACTTGCCTCGCTTTTTTTTGCTTGTGGCTGGCACTCTACCCTCTGAGCCATACCTCCACCTCCCACCTTTTTGGTGGTCTTTTTTTTTTTTTAATTTAATATCCTTGGGCATGCTGAAGCTAATTTGTAGGATACTAAGGGTTGACCCTATTTCTATTTCTTTTTTTCTTTTTTGTCGGTCGTGGGGCTTGAACTCTGGGCCTGGGCGCTGTCCCTCAGCTCTTCAGCTCAAGGCTAGCGCTCTACCACTTGAGCCACAGCGCCACTTCCTTTTTGGTGGTTCTTTGGGGATGAAATGTCTCGAGGACTTTCCTGCCCGGGCTGACTCGGGGCCTTGATCCTCAGATCTCAGCCTCCTGAGAAGCTAGGATGACAGGCGTGAGCCCTGGCCCGGCTGTGTGGCTATTATTTCTATTGGAGGTAGATTGTGCGTTACGCTTGGGCTGCTGTTCATGCTTTCTCCTGTGACTGGAGAGGGCGGCTCTCGGCCATTTGGTGGATCGAATCTTTTCAACTTCTGTTTGCCTGGTTTCCCTGAGCCCACGGCTCATCGGCCCTTGCCAAGCGCTCGGGCCGCAGGTCTGGACCGGCGCAGATCAGCCCACTGCGGCCGGGCTGGGCCGGCCCGGTCAGCCAGCGGGGCGCTGGGCGCTCACCGGGGCGGGCCGGGCGGCCTCGGGCGCCGCCTGGCTGGACAGGGTGTACGACGCGGGTTCCTCTGTCGACTTCCCGGTCCTTCGGAACCCTCTGCGGTACTGATCCCGGACCTGTGGGGGGAGCGAGCTGTGGGCGCGCTGGGGGACGGGCGGGGAGGGGAGGGGCACCTGCTGGCTGAGCAGGCAGTAGACCAGGAAGAGGAAGACGCCCTGCAGGCTGTTGGCGATGGTGAACAGGTACGCCAGGACCCGCGCCGCCGCGCCCACCTGCAGGACGCCCAGGATCCACGTGCAGCCCAGGATAAAGAGCTGGGCGACGCCTTTAAATGCCAGCATCCTGGGACAGGGAGACAGAGAGAGACAGAGCGCCAGGATACCACCAGAACAAGCCCACGGATGACGTTCTGGCTGGATGCTCAGGCTGAGCTGCGAGGGTCACTGTCATGACGTTTCACACTGTGAGTCTCTTTCCTGGGGGGACACCTGTGGACCTGTGAGGACGCTGACGCGTGATAAAGTTCTCATCATTTCATGGGTGCCTGTGGCTCGCGCCTGTCATCCTAAGCTACTCAGAAGGCTGAGATCTGAGGATCGTAGTTCAAAGCCAGCCTGAGCAAGAAAGACAGTGAGACCCTTACCTCTAACACCACACACACACACACACACACACACACACACACACACACACACACACACACACACACACACACACACACACACACACACACCAGTGCTTCAAAGGGCTGGAAGCATGGCTCAAGTGGTAGAGTACCAGCCA